AGAGAGAGAGAGGCCCAGATGTAGAGTATGAGAGAGCACGAGTAGTTGTAACAAGAGAATCTAGTGAGGAAGATCACTCTCACTATCTTTTTATTTCTTTCTCAGATTTCCTTTCTTATTTTTTTCTTTATTTTATGCGTGTGAGTGTGTGAGAGAGAAAGAGATAGACTGTGTGTGTGTGTGTGTGTGAATGAATTGTTGATATATAAAGTTAGAATAGAAAACACAATCACGCAAAAAACATTTTTTTCTGCACACGCAGATTTTTTGCTTCTCAACTACTCAATAAATAAAACACACCTACAAATTAAACCTCTTCACAAGTCACAAACATCCACCCTCTCACACACACACACACACACACTTCCTCACAAACTTATAAGAACAAATCAAATATAATTATATATTTATTTTGAATTAATTGAGGAGTACTTTCAAATGGAATTGGAATCAAAATTAGCAGGAGGTGATTGCAAGTGCATTAATAATATTAAGACAGAAGAAGAAGTTTGTAGAGATGATGATGAAAAGCAAAAACAACAAGACAATAATATTTTTCATGTGCTGGCTGTGGATGATAGTCTTATTGACAGGAAGCTCTTGCAGAGGCTCCTTTCTGTTTCTTCTTACCAAGGTAATGGTAATTCGAATTTATTAAATTCTAGTGCTTCTTTTATTAGTGAAGTTTTTAGAAAAAAAAATATATCAAACGACGCAACGTACCTTGGGTCGTCGCTATGTAAACAACCTCCTTGTATAATTACAAGGGTAAGGTATGCGTACAACTGACCCCCAGACCCCAACCTGTTGGAAATATACTGAGTATGTTGATGATATTGATGTTGATATATATATATATATTAAGGTAATTCATATGTGTATATATATGTTTTCTGGCAATAATATATAATAAATATTAAGAAATATATATATATATATATGTATATATATTTGCAGTGACCTGTGTGGAGTCTGGAGATAAAGCCTTGGAATATTTGGGTTTGCTGGAAAATATTGAAGAGAATGAAATTGAAATATCCTCTGATCACACAACACTTCTTTCTTGTGATGATGAGCTGCCTCCATCCATTATTAAGTCCTCATCTCACCAAGAGGTAATTGATTTTTTTCTTTTTCTTTTTTCTTTTAAAAAAAAGGATTATATATTTGTTAATATTATATATATATATATATATTACCATTTTGGTTAGGTGATTTAATTATATGAATATAAAAGATAAAATTGGGCACTAGAAATTTGAGTTTCTAGTTAAATTGACATATTATCTAATTCCAATTTCCTTTGGCTTGAACTCAAGAGATTCAACATGAATTATTTTTTTTTAATAACAATTTTAATTAGGTCAAATGGAATAAATAAACTTTAGTTTTTCAAAATAGAATAAATAAATTTTAGGTATATAGCAATTTTTTAAAATTTTTAGTGTTTGAGTCTTTGTGATTTTATGTCTTTCTAGAATATTTTCAATTTTCATGTTGGAGTCGGTTCTAGGTGGTCCTTTGACCTGTCCTTCCAGTTTTTTCTCAATAGTTGGTTGCTTGTATTCAGTCGTCGGCTGTTTGTAATCAACTTGTAGCTGTACTTTTGCACTTTTGTGCGCATTTAATATTTATATACTATCTCTATCGTTTGGACAAAAAAAAAAACCAAAGAGGTACAAATTACATTTATTATTATTATTATTATTATTATTATTATTATTATTATTATTATTATTATTATTATTATTATA